TAACAAATATACATTTATAATAAACTTTATTTTTATATTAGGATATAATTATAAGAATAGCAGAAACTTTTTCATATTTTTCCTTATACAAAATATTTCAACCAAATATTTTTATGGACTCTTTAATGTAAAAGTAATATTTAAACTTCTCAAATACATCCAACCAATTATTTTCAAATATCTGTTGTGCCCAATATTATTGTAAGCAGAACACTTAGATGATTCTCGAGTTAGTCATTTGCCTCAGTAGAACCTTTCGTAAAGTCTTCAGTAAGCATGCTACTTGACTTGGTCAAATTTATTCGTTGTAAGCTATTTTTAGCAAATATAAGTGCCAGGAAATAGTACATAGGAGCCCCCCGCCCCGCTACCAAAAAACAGTTACCGCCAGCCAAAAATCTTTCCTGTGTAGTTAATGAGTAGAGTGTGAGTATTGAGGCTGCAGGCCGTGGTTGTGGCAGGAGTTCGCTCATTGTTTTGAGTCCCGAAGAAGTGACAGCCAGCAAGGAAAGCAGGCTTCTGCAGGACTCATGGACCTGGGAGCTGGGTGTTCAGGCCTTCTGTAGAGCCTCCTGACTGCTGGCCTCTTGTTCCAGTCTATGTCTTTCATTGTCAGCAAATTATGTTAAAAGTCAAGTGAAATGGATAGATTGAAGAGTGACTGTCAGACAGCAGAATAGCAGGGCATTTCTGTCAGGGCCCCCATCTGCCCAGCATGTGGGGTAGGAGGTAGGTAGGGCAGGGGACTCCAACTGTGGAGCTCATGTCGCCACTGATGTGTGAGACATGAATTTAAGCAGGAGACTTTAGTTAAATTACAAGGTAGTTTAGGATTGGGGCAGTATTCTCTAGACATCACAGAACCAAGGTGTTATTTAAATTGAAGTAATAGTCACCTTTGTCTCTGGAGAGGAAATTCTTTTGGTGCCATGAAGATTGGCTTGGAGGAAGAGTGGTTGGTGGCCAAGTGAAGGACTTGCTGACAAATCCTTCAAATGGTGACTGTTTTTAAGTTAGGTAGTTGTTGGCCTTTTTGCAGTTTGTTTTTTAAATTGCCTGGTATATAATTTGAAATCCTCAGTAAAGATACTAGAAAGCATCACTGCTCAGCTTTTTGGCTAAGATCACGTGTGAAGAAGTCAGAGAGCACTCGGTGATCAGCCAGCCTTTGCAGTTACTCCACTTAGTTTTTGTTTGTTTTGTTTTGTTTTCCCAACCGTGTGTTTCTTAGTCTCAAGGAAACTGAGACCGAATGCCGAAATCAGGGTGTGTTGACTTCAAACTTATGTTTGTGAAATTCCATTCCTTTATTGTTTGTTTGAACCCAGCATCAGTCGCTTTAGTGCTCCGTATCCTAAACTAACACGTCTTTGATAGGCTACGTTTCGCCTTCACGACATTTTGTCTTTGTAAAACTGATGACTGACCACTGAAATCCTTGATCCGTTTAATGTTCTCTACTTCAACACTATGTGCTTCCCTAGAAAAATGAACAGTTCCTTTCTTCTTTAACTCTTGGACAAATAGTTTATATTTCTCTGTATTTCATCCTTTTGACCTATACTGTCCTATGTAATTCAGATCTGCCACTGAACTTAGCAGTTGTTTACATGTTAAATTTTTTATGTACACTTGTACGAAACATGTTTAGCACATGACTAGAAAGTTCTCATGATTTTCTGATATTGTTCTGGTTCCAAATACTAATAGGGTAAACTTTGTAACATATATATGTATAATTTTTTTTTTTCAGAACACTATCATGGAGGCTTCTATTCAGCTTCCATCATCTCTTTTCCTACCAAAGCAAAAGAGAGAAGTCAGAGCAACTGATGACGCCCTCTATAAGCAAACGAGAGAAGTCAGAGCAACTGATGACGCCCTCTATAAGCTTCAGCTCATCGCGTTCCGCAATGGAAAGCTTTTTCCAGCCACAGGAAATTCCACCAACTTGGCTGATGATGGCAAGCGGCGTACAGTAGTGACTCCTGTGATCCTCACAAAAATAGGTTTGTGTGTGGCAGCTGTTACCTGCACTAGCCGGACAGTGGCTTAGCAGTTCTGTCTTCTTAAAAATGCTTATTTTTGTTTCTTCTTGTTTTAATGAGTCACTAGCGTAAAAAGATCTTACAGAGTACCCATCAGTGTATAAGCTGACATTTAATTGTTTATGAAGTTTGTTTGAGAAATACTGTTCTTTCCCATTTTCTCCAGATGGTGTGACCATAGATACCCACCACATCCCTGTTAATGTGACGCTGCGTCGAATTGCACATGGAGCAGATGCCGTTGCAGCACAGTGGGACTTTGATTTGCTGAACGGACAAGGAGGCTGGAAGTCAGATGGGTGCCGTATACTCTACTCGGATGAGAACATCACCACAATTCAGTGCTATTCCCTGAGCAACTATGCCGTGCTAATGGTATGGCAGTTGTTAGCTTTATGCATAAATACTAAATATTCTAATGGTTTCCTATGCATAATTAAGCTCAAATGAAGAATTTACTTTTTAACTTAACATAAATGGCTCTTTTTAATTATGTGAGGGGAGGTTCTGGATTTCAAGGGAAATTGAGTTACGACCAAGGAAAATGTACAAGATTGTGTTTTGTAGAAGAATGCTTAGTGAACCTCAGAAGGGAATCACATCAGCTACACTTTGACCTCCTTAAAACTTGGAGAAAACTTGAGTTTATGCAGTCCAGCTCTGTCAACTTAGAGCCGTTTGCTTGTCCAAGGGTACGTAGTGCATATGGGAAGGTTTACCTGCTTTGCCATTTCCTGCCTGTCTGGATGCTTTCCAGTACGGTTGCCTTTAAATGGAGAACTAATACCGATAACTTTCAGTTGTGTGACTGTAAGTGACGATATTGAAACAGTTCGTGTCTTTTCACTTCCACTGACAGTGTGCTGTTGCTTGCTGTTATTGTTGTTGTCTATAAATCTTTTTTGGTCAAGTAACATGTTATTGTGTGGGAACAGTTATTTAAAAACAGGTATTTACATGAATCTGATTTCTTAGCAGGGGGTTATGAGATGAACCAGCGTAGATGCTACTATATACCACAGCTATTACGCAGTTAATTCTGCTGCAGTTGTTACGGGATGCTAGCTAGCATCCTGGGGTGTCGACTGAGTACAGTAGGCGAAATCACGGAAATGTCTAAAAGACTTTTCTCGGAAATGGTTTGAGACTAGCCTGGAGGCCGGAGCTTCCATATTTTTGTCTAATTCCAACTGTGCATCTGGTTCCTAGACATTTTTACAGGAGTACTAAACAGTCTTGAAACATGCAGTATTTTACATTTGGTCAATCTTTCCTTTTTTAAAAAAAATGGCATCACTAGAAATGATTTGAAGCAAGCC